TTGAATTTGAAGTATTAGTTCTCCCAATCCTTTCCAAATTTAATCACTTTCTTTCACCTCTATTATTATTATTATTATTAGTCCAATAGCAATTTCAAATTTGGACTTCAGGGAGAATTTCAAAGTTTTAGGAAATTAGAGGCCACATGCCACGTACTGCTCTTTTCTCTCCGAAACTCAACAATTGCAAGCCAGATGTGACAGAAAGAAAAAAAAGAAAAAATCATCAGTCACACCACCGGGACTCGAACCAGGGACCTTGCTAATCGAGCAATGCTCTAACCAACTGAGCTACAGTATGGCTCTTATCCACAGTGATGGTAAATCTATCCTTCTTCGATCAATCCATATCTGGCTTGCATCATAGGTGTGAGTTGCCAGTATGATGCAAGCCAGATATGGATTTATCGAAGAAGGATAAATTTACCATCACTGTGGATAAGAGTCATACTGTAGCTTAGTTGGTTAGAGCATTGCTCGCGATTAGCAAGGTCCCTGGTTCGAGTCCCGGTGGTGTGACTGATGATTTTTTCTTTCTTTCATATCTGGCTTGCAATTGTGGAGTTTCGGAGAGAAAAGAGCAGTACGTGGCATGTGGCCTTTAAATTCCTGAAAATTAGTCCAATATGCGATATATTTTACCGCTTAGGCCATGGTAAAAATTATCTTTGATTCTCAAGTACGCGCGCACCGATTTTTGGCGGCGCACCGACGATTGTTTTTATTTCTATGCATGCATATGCGCGCATGAAAACGGTCAATGTGAAAGGCATGATTCAGGGAGTAGTAAAATACCGGTATTTTTCTACTCCCTGGCCTGAATATATGAACATGTGACAATGTACAGATGTGTGACCCTATCTTTGGAAATGAAAAATTGTGGGAAATAAAATAAAAAATCGTTCGCTCGCACCGATTTTCACAGGCTCATGACCTGAGGACCAACTTCATTTTTCACCATGGCCTTTGGTATCAGGGGAATCAGTGGGGTCAAATACTAAGAATGCGATAATGATTGTTATTGTGTAATAAAATTAATATTAGCGGCGTGTCCAGTGCTGTACTTGCACGGCTATTCTTCGACCTCCCATTTCTCCCCAAGTCTGAGTCGATAAGGAGCAGACGGGAAATATATCTCTCACCTTGAACGGTTGTGGCAGTGTAACGTAGAAATAATTGTCAGCTGCTGCATTCCCTGCGTAGCTAAGCTATTTACGGACCATGTGCGCCGCTTGCCACAAACTGCCACAAACTATCCTGCTCTGACAATATCGTTCAAATCCCATAGATGTAAGTTAGACTTAGAGTCAGAGGCAAATAGTAAGATTGTGCAAATATTCTAACTTGCGTTACGGGGACAACACGTGTTGTGTAGATACACAGGAAAATCTAGTCTGGTTGGAGACAGGACACACAACGACAATAATTATACTTTATAATAGTGATTGCAGGCATCACCTCTACTCCTTCGGCCACAGTCAGTCTGTGAGAGATTTCTGCATCTACAGAAATACGGACGATCTGCATTATCCTGACTGTACTGTTGTCCGTAGTATAGTGTAGGCTAGCTAGCTCAGTAGCTGTGCAACTCGAGAATACCATATTCATGGTCATGCATGATGCAGCTGCACGGGAAGGTTTTGCGCGCCAGTGTGTTTCCTTGCTAGCCACTGACTCTGTACTGTGAGTGCTGCTATGTCGGCGCTCGTGGCCAGATCATGTAGACTCTACTGTAGATGTGGATCTTCTCCATACAGCCTTGCACTTGCAGGCATATTGGGACTCGGAGTACAGTTCTACTCGCAGTGCTATCTAGTGTAGATCTACACCATGGCATCCGGTAGACAGCTGAGTTCTGCAAAGACCGGAACTCGGAAGTGTGTTTGGCTACCATAGATCTACCACTTACAGGTGTAACAAGTCATGTACGCACATTTTACTGACGGTGATCTCCTGCGCGCGTCAAAGAAACGCTTCCGCAGTGCAGTGATCGCCGTGGCAATGGTGACCTAGTAGATCTACCTGGTGACTGGGTCTGGAGTCTGAAGCACTGGGGGGGGGGGGGGACCAGCGAGCGCAGATATGCAGTACAGTGTCAGTACATTCGGGGGGGGGGGGGGGGTGTGATTACACAGCGTGCAGCTGCTGGTCCACGGTAAGACCTGAGATAGCATAGCCCAGGCTACGTGTTTGCCTAGCGAAATGCTGCGGAATGCCATGTACTGATGTAGGCTAGTTGTAGCACTCTGTACTTGTGATGATACGACCAAACAGGTGCACAGATGCACCCCCCCCCCCCCCCAAACAAACACCCTTCCTCAACATGGCATTTCCAGTGCAGTGTGAGTCATTAATTTGTATAGTCTTCACTCAGCAACCTACCAAGTCACATGCACATGCATGCGTGGATGGAGATGCACACACGCACCCAAGAATGCGCACACACATACACACACACACACACACACACACACACACACACACACCATTAATTTGACGCCCATGGCGGAGGCGATGATAGCGATGCTACAGCAGAAGCCATAGCAGCTTGTGCTGGGATTGCACCATTCAACAGCTTCCAGGGCTGCACACACATACACACACACATATACACACACACACACACACACACACACACACACACACACACACACATACACACACCACCATTGGACCATTGGACGCCCATCGCCGGAGGCGATGATAGCGATGCTACAGCAGAAGCCATAGCAACTTGTGCTGGGATTGCACCATTCAACAGCTTGCAAGGCTGAAGAATTGGCCGCCACTACACACACACACACACTGTACTGTACTGCACTGTACTTGTTGCTCACTGCCAAAACTGGTCACGTGAGTCTCCCCGGGAGAGGGGAGAGAGACTCAAAAGGAATCTTGGAAAGATGACTCAATTGGTTATTGAACCGCCGAACGGCCAACACCCCCTGAAATCCCCAAAACTCTGGGTGGACTTGATAATGATCCAACTTATGGGCTCGCCACACCTCAGTAAGTGGGTGAGGACAAGGTGCAGAAGAAGGATTGACGGCATCAGGGTATCCGTCCCGGGATCCAACTGCAGTTACCCCTGCCCCCAGTGAAGGTAATACTTGCTACTGGTGTGAGTGGCTAAATCAGAGTGGATCTGACAAAAGCTTCACTAGCACCATTGATTACACAAGAGTTAAAGGGGAAGTATACCCTAAAATCAAATTTTCACCAGTTGTAGTCTTCGGGGTGCTGAGTCGAATGGTCTTGGTCCGAGGAAGCTGAGACGCTCCCTTCCTACTTGAATCCCAATCGAACTCGCGCACTTCCACCGAAACTGGGTGACTGCGCCCTACTAGATGGGGATTTGTATGCAAAATGTCACTAAAAGCGCCATTTCGTTCTTATAAAAGCACGGATGACCGCGATTGGCCCATATGTTGTAGTCTTTTGGACGCTGAGTCGACTGGTTTTGGTCCGAAAAGGCTGCGATGCAGCGTTCCTCCTTTATTCCCAATCGAACATGGTTGAACAAGTGGTCACGTGCTCCTGCGTACACCAGTCAGCTGGTCACCGTGCCTGCAGGGTACAACTTACTAGCCTGTTTGACCTTTTTTGGGTGCAGTCCTGTCACTCGAGTTGAACTCGAGTTGAACCTTGGTGTGAAAGTTGTCGCCTGCTGGCGCGGTGACCAGGTGATTTGGGCACCCAGGAGCACGTGACCGCTTGTTCAACCATGTTCGATTGGGAATAAAGGAGGAACGCTGCATCGCAGCCTTTTCGGACCAAAACCAGTCGACTCAGCGTCCAAAAGACTACAACATATGGGTCAATCGCGGTCATCCGTGCTTTTATAAGAACGAAATGGCGCTTTTAGTGACATTTTGCATACAAATCCCCATCTCGTGGGGCGCAGTCACCCAGTTTCGGTGGAAGTGCGCGAGTTCGATTGGGATTCAAGTAGGAAGGGAGCGTCGCAGCTTCCTCGGACCAAGACCATTCGACTCAGCACCCAGAAGACTACAACTGGTGAAAATTTGATTTTAGGGTATACTTCCCCTTTAATCTAGCCACAAGACACGTTCATTTTTCTTAAGGTGGCTCCTACCCCTCGGGTCCAAATTATTTTAGTTTGAAACGATTGTACTTTGTTCCGTAGGATATCTAGTGTGCGGAGACAAATTTTTATCAAGTTCTACCGGCCGGTTTCACTCAGGGGAGGGGCCCAAACATAGCATACTCAAAATTGCCAAATTAGGCTAAAAAATACAGGAAAAAAACAATTTTTGACCATAGCACTCGTAGTTATCCCGTTTTTCTTGATGTGCAACATCGGGACAGTCATATACTTGCAAAATACCAACACAAGCTTTAGAAGTAGGTAGAATCCTGCCCGAGAGGTGCCTTTTCCTCTTTTCGGAATAGTACCATTTCAGCGAACGTGTCCTGAATATAAGCCCCACCTGCATGTATTTGAAACTGGACTTGGTCAGCATTTGATGGCCATGCCATCAGAACACAATAGTGGTTCCGTGTAGCAAGTTTGAGCAGGTTCTACCGAAGCTAACTCACGAAATAAAACTTTGAAGTTTCCGAATGTAACCGAAATTGCATGAATAAGCACATTGCATTGAGTTCATCGCCCCAAGATATGAACCACCAACACTCACATACAGCAGACAATAGCCTGTAGTTACTCGATTGAGCTCTCATTAGAACATGATAGAATAGTGTTGAACAATTTTGAGCCGATTCAACCGGATCTAACTCTTCAAATAGAGCTCGAAAGTGTCGAAATTGTATCATAATGAAGAATCGGAATGCATTCCAGAGTGCGTTTCCAATCAAATCGCACGTATGACCAACATTTATCTTACATAATTGTTTCTGTTTAGGCGCTGCATCTGCGCCTTTGATCCTAGAGGGTGGTGGCGTTCCCACGGCGGATGCGGAAAACTCGGCTTCCAGCCGAGTCTCACGCGAACCGTGAAATTTAATTTAATCACAACTCAGTATTATTATTATTATACTTCAATGGCTTTGTTCACAGTAGTAAGAACCTAAGCTAACTAAGAAAAATATTAGTAATAGCTACAGCAATTCGATGTAACGTATTAGAATAATGTCTGCATACAGGAGCAGGAATGAGTTGAAGCTTAGTAAGCCTTAGTCTTGATTTAGCTATCATCAAACGCAGAGGCATTGCAATCAAGAAACCATAAATATTATCTGGAGCAGATATACGGAAAGGAATACCTACAGAGTAGGCACAATGCATCGCCATAGTAAAACGCTTGAAAACACGTAGTAGCTGTCAATACCTGTACGTGCCCATGCTGTCGTCATGGTCCGCCGGACACTCTAGGCTTGTACACTGCTCAGCCACTTCATAGAAGCAGGATCTGGCAAGTCGTACCCTTCTGCTTTCCGGCAACGATACAATGCTAGAGTGGCCGGTGGCAGCAAAGCGCTGGCAACAGCACTGACGGTGGAACTTGGGGCGGCACTGACAGTGGCACTTGGCGTAGCAGTGACAGTGGAACTTGGGGCAGCACTGACAGTGGCACTTGGCGTAGCAGTGATGTCTTCACACTGTGTTGCACTGGCAGCCTGGCCGATGGCTTCCGTCTCAGCAAAGTGCCCCGCCAGCTTTGCTAGAGTCGGTGCAGACTTTGTCACCCTTCGCCGACCAGTCGTATCGGGCTCTGCAAGTAGCGCTCTCAGACCAGCTGCACCGTTTCTCCGGAAAGAAACCCTCAAATCCGCAAGGCTTAGCCCACTGCTGGCAATTTTCATCGCCATGCCATTAGACAGCGCCTTGACGGGGATGCTAGCTTTCATCTCTTCAGGCAATTTCTTGCACCGGAGGTTGTATGCATGCACATCAAATGACGATTGAGATGTAACACAGCGTGTGAATGCCTTGTCTGAATCTAGGCATTTGTCATAGAGCTCATTCACATCACCAATCGCATTGTGCGCATCATACCCTGGGTGCCAACAAACTGGCTGAACAGATGCTCCTGAGTGTAGGAGACACAACCTGGATGCGCATCCTTGAAGGCAGGCAAAGTGTCGATGAACCCAGCCACCGCAGAGAGAAGGTCTTGTACCATACCTAAACTCTCCAGTTGGTTGAACAAGACTCGGCAATCAAACTTGAGCAAATTGTGACCAACCAACACAGTTTGACCGCCGAGCCCTAACCAACGGATGAAGTGGTGATGGCATCATGGAGGGTGACAGATTGCAAAGGCTCCTTGGATCCAACGCGCTGTAACCTCCCCTGGCCATTGACCACAGTGACAGTCAGACCGATCTTCTCCGTGGCTTTCGGATGGATGGATTTTTCCGGCACAACGTACTGGCTGAAGGTGTTGCTGCCAGACTGGGCCGCAAGCTGAACTATCTCGGCACAGTTGCCGAACCCTGTCGTTTCCAGGTCAAAGAACACTAAGTTAGTGTCCTTTGACGTCTCCAGTGGCTTACATGACACAGGCCCGGATGGTGGTGGCAACACATGGTCATCTGATGGCCGGAGAGCGCATTCACTTCCATACTGTGGACCTTCTCGTACCTGTAGTCAAAAAGCATATGCAAGCAAACAGTGCTTTTCAGAAACTCCCAATCTCCTTCAAACACAGGATACATGAGAATCCACTGCAGGAACGCCAGAATAGGCCTCATACCGGTATAGACCTTATAGGCGAATCAGACTACGGCCAAAATCACGTCTGAACTTGAATTTCCATGGTGATGCAGTCATGTTTCAAAATTTTATGCACAATCCCTGATCAAATCCATCCGAGTCGTAGAAACGTGGTCACATTTGGCCGTAGTCTGAATCGCCTATTATAGACAAATATTTAGCTTTTCTCAATTCCAAAGTACATGGAGATTGAATAGCCCACGTACCTCAACAGCCGACTGCTTGCTAGATCGGAGTTGACTAAGCTCAAGTCGCCGCCTCTTCACTGGCTTAGACGACTTCCGGAGTGATTCCCTTTTTCGTTTTCCATCCATCTTCCGTCCCAGCATTTCGGCGTGCCTACTTGGAGAAAGCCCTGCCTCTGTACACACTTTTGATACATAGGTGTAGCCGATGGTCTGCTGTGCGACTGCTGCACCAACCCGGAAGCTGAAGGAGCCAGATGATGCGTAGCTCCTCGACTTGGGCTGCTTGCTAACTACGGTGTTGTTGAAAGACTCGTTGGCTTGAGAGCTTCCGTGGTTAGCTAGCTTGTTCATTTTCGGCATACACCTATGCACACACATAGGGTCCACACACACACACACACACACACACACACGCACGCACACATGCATACGGTTCATACGCACACTCACACAGGCACATACACGCTCACACACACGCTCACACACACGCACACACACACACACACACACACACACACACACACACACACACACACACACACACACACACACAGAACGGCAAAATAACTTTCACAAGCTTTCAATTGGGCGTGAAGTGAATGATACTGTCAATACTTTATCAGTAACTCAGTATTGTAAAATTGTTTAGATTCACTGTAGAATACAGTTGAAGGTTAGGGGTATACTTACATTATGTTTGCACCTTTCCCTCGAACTAATGAATATTATTATAATACTGTGTTGACGTAAACCAGCCAGCTGTTGAGTTCACAACATACGGAGAGGTGACCTTCATTTTACCTGACATGGAACAGTAGAAAGAGTCAGTAACGGTATAGTCTGACAGTTTCGTCAAAACTACTGACTGTCGGTACGGAAAACTTGGATGATACAGGAAACTTACTGTGAAGATTTTCATCAGCTCAGACTTGGTTCTTTCATTGGACAAGTCACGACCATACGGCAAGCTCGTGTGCTTGTAGTTTGCAGGATCTTTGCAATATGCGCACCAGTCTCCACAACCCTTATGATCACCTGTGCAAGGCGTACAAAGAGGTTGCAATTCATGCTTGTAATACCTATTTGGAGGCAAATTTCAGAATGTCAATTCGAGTATGTGATACTACAGTATGTCAGCACTTGAACATCACAGCCTATTGGACAATTTTATTTTTCAGCTTGCGTGAGTTTTAAGTAATGGCATGATTCAGGTGAGGTGTTTCTATCCGTACCATAGAGATGTGGAACGGTTGCCATCAAGGACGCTTTCAAAGATGGGGCATCATTGTTTGACTGGTGCACGGCGTACATGAAGCATTTCTGAACGCTCTTGATGACCATATCCGATATTTCCTTGTGGCCCTGTTGCTTCAGCTTGTGTAGAGTGACTTACCTACACATATTCATAAGGATAGAACCATGGTGGAGTTTTTCATAATAATGGAAATGACAACACTGGTAATACAAGTACTCTACTCTCAACAGCACGAGTATCATACCACCAATAGGCTGACGTGCCACAGTAGAACTACTTCCTCCGCGTCATCGAAATTGTCGCAGTTTGACTTTTGATATAAAACGGGTTTTTTACTCACCAGCACTCGTACCAGAGGCAAGGAATCGGACATAGGCGACGGTCATCAGTATAGGGTGACGGCAAAGTTCTATTTTCTGTTATTGGAAGCTGGAATTTTTGAACTAGACGCAATTTCTTCGCTGATGTCGCTGCGATGGTAATTTCAACTCGCTGAGATCAGTCAGGCGTTGCAGCCTGCACATTTCTCGTGCTTATGGCCATTCACTCAAGCCTCATCACTGTTTTACCTTAGCTGGGGTGAGAATGACTTCGTGGAACAAGTGGCAGCGCTTGGAGAAACATCGAGGGGTCAGCAAACTAAATGCCTTCACCAGCGATAAAATTTGTCGCTCTGGCCGAGACACTCAGTACATGATTGTACCTGCAAGAGCCGTGTAGACTCTACACGTAGTGCTAGTGTCTGTACTAGTGATGCACACGCAGGTGCCGTACCATGATACCAGTGAATCAGGGCCGGGCCGGCAGTGATGCTGAAAAAGAGTGTGCGCTGGACGTGATAGTACACTTACCTGCATGAGCTGTGACCACACAGCTAAAATAAATGGGCATGCCGCGGCTAAAAAAAGTTCATTTCAAGATCGAGGTGATTCCGCCGACGGTAATCAACCGACCTCGCAACGATCGTGTATTCTTACTAGGCTTCGTTGGTGGTGAAGTAGAAATCATCCAGAGCTAGCAGACGACAAGCATAGCAGCTCTTGTCCTGTGGAGAAAGTCAAAGCGTTTGAGATGAGGCGCGACCAACTTTCAACCTTCCTTGAAATATTTCGGAACGATATTTTTGCGTCCATTGACATCAGCGACGACGAGGACTTCATCTCTGCATGAAAACTCTCAGTCCAACTGTCCTGGAACGTTACTCTAGTCTTCAGACTATCATACTGTGTAATAAGTTTTGAACAGCTTAGCTTATGGAGTTGTCAGTAACAAGTGACAAGTCACTAGTCAAACTGCGACAATTTCGATGACGCGGAGGAAGTAGTAATTGCACAGCATCACGTTTTGCATTGACATCAATACTAAGTTAATCTTGCTACTTCGAAGTAAAGTACTAATTTCATCATCAAGACAACTAATGTTGGGTTAGCACTTACCAAGATTCTTTTTTACATGGTTCAAGTCTGAGCTCTTCGATGTATTTTCAAACACTTCTGTCCGCAAACGCTTTATGGCCGACGAGTCATCATCTCACACCATAACAGCCACGTTCACACCAGAATCCTTCAAGGAGTTGCCAATGTCCACAGCTACGGCACCGTCCATGCTCTTTGAGGAACCGGAATGGTTTTTCTTGCAACCATGAGGAGGAACAGCTTTGTGGCGGCGTTCAGCATTGAAGCAAATGGCGCAACGCTTTGAGCAAGTACCATAAAGCTATAATTTTGCCCGTCTTGGCACCAATGGCATGACCAACACCTGAAGACATAAAGTGTACAACAATATGCACACTAAATCAACAATAGCAACAACACCGTCCATTAGGAAGCGCAGTTTGGACAAACACATACGTATAGTACGAAATAAAATAGCGCGAGCTCCAGTGTGGGAGCAAACCCATTCCTAAACATACGTATAGTGCAGAAGTATTTAGTGCCAGGTTTCACTGTGGATTATTGTTGACAATACTAACATTAATCAATGTGCCAAATAGGTTTTTTCATTTGACCCGACGAGACCACACGACGCTTGCAGATCACAGCACGCACTGTTCACCAGCCACACTCCACGAAAGCAAGTAGTAGTAGTACTCCTGACAAGTCTTGTTTCGTTCCATAGAGATATAACGAGGAACTCATCAGAGGAGAAGCAGTTGTTGAATGAAGGGGTTTAGAATTGTTAATCAATGTGCCAAATCAGTCCCCTCTGTCAGATTGGACTGCTTATGCAGCCAGCTGCCACAAGAAGCGGGCTACACAACTTTTGCCTGCAATAGTACACTGTCTACTTACCAGTCAGGCTACGTCCTCGCTTCTGCCATCCCATGTCATAACTCATCATAATGCCTTCACTGCCAGATTGGGCTTTCTCCTTTGATGCAGAATCTTTGCAACTTGAAGCAGCAACACTCTCTGTTTTAGGTCCAATGGATTTCTCGTGGTTTTGCAGACACTTTTGACTAGCTACTGGAATATTCAGTGTTGCCCTCAAGTTGTTAACGTGTGTTGCGCATATACCTGCGTGGTCCATAGCTGAACACAAAGTATGAGAAGTAGATCCCACAATCAGTCGGTCGAACATAGTGATGCTTGTCTATCTTAGAGGCACACACCTATGCCCCCCCCTCTCTCCTCCTCCTCTTCTCACGTCTGTTATTATTGTAATTATGCGCATTCCCGCGGCAGCGTCAACCAAGCAGTTATGCTTGACTGATCCACACTTTCGCTTATGCTGGACATTGAAACAGAGCGGATGTAGATATCTCCTACATGTAGAGAATGTGGCTCTACAAAACCAACGTCTGCTACGCACACAATACGGTCATCACAAATTATACCAATCCGGAGATACTAGAATACGGTCAGTGTATAGCAGAATCACTCACAGTGTCACTGTTCTGACACAACATGTGGGATTTATGAGGGGGCATGCAGGTTCCCATTCCAAATGCAAGATAGCACACATACACACACACACACCTATATAAATGTGCTCAGCTGCGCACGTATGAACGCATGCAGACACATGTACACTCATACGTCGGTTATCCGGAGCCTGGAGTTACGGGCACTTCACTGAGCTTTATTGGGCACCCTTTGGGCGTCTTTCAGTGGAAATATTACTACTCTTTTGTCACTTTTTGTGAAAATAGTGACATCATATGCCATGTCTGTGGCATCTCCCCCTTCAAAATGTGTAACGATTCGGAGTTACGGACATTTCAAAGTTACGGGCAGCGTCCAGTCCCGGACCGCCCGGGAAAAGGTGGTATGAGTGTGCTTACATCTACCCAGCCGGCGCCCGTGCATGTTATGTATTTTGGTCATTGGCCCTGTATCATATAATTTGTATGAAATACAAGTAAATGGATACTTGTAAATAGATGAACGTGCACGCACTCACGCGCACACATACACAGATGGACGCATGCATGTCCCTCTCATGGATTGCATGTCTAAATCGTGCAATGGTGTATGGTTAAGCACTATCATTGCAGAAACAGGATGGACGTAGGACACACCTAAGGCAAGTTTCGTGTTCACATCATAGCTCCTGCGATTTCCAGACTTGCCGGCATGCGTTTTCGAGGTCTGTACCTGGTTACGGACACCACATGCACCGCACTTCACCTCATCATGTCAAGTTGAACCACTATTTTACCTCCATCCTTCCAGAATTGTAGAGTCAACAAATAGTTCGACCTCGCTGCGAGCTGCAGGCGGAACACAAGATTCTCCTGTGGCTGCAGGTACATCAGCTGTTTTGCAGCACGCCGGGGATTGGGTATCGACCTCAGGCAAAGGGCCTGCATCGATAGGGGCAGCCCGGGCTGAGGCCAGTGATGGAGGCTCGCTTGAGCTGTTCGTCTTCGTCGCTCTGCTCCGCCATGATTAACGGCGAGCGATCGCGGATTTCTGGCAGAACTTTCCACGATACCTGGCGCTGAAGCGGCTTGACGTGCCCATTCCAGGGCTAGGGAGCAGCCACTGCACACTTCGTGCCTTGCTGTACGAGTCCCTCGCCGAGCGCTACGCCATCGCCTTCAGGAAACAGGATCTACGAAAAGGAAACAGTAAGATGGCAGCTACTACAAAGTCACCTTCAAAAATCAAACTAACTTTGCAGTCCGCGGGACTCCGCGTGCTTGTGCTGACGTTTTGAAGTATTTCTGGAAAAAAGGAAAAAATCGATGTTTTTGAAAAGATGCGCGCAGGAGTCACCTTAACTGCACACATCCGTTTTCACACATCCGTTTTCAACAAAGATATTCGGATAGGCGAGGGAACCGGATAGTCGAACACACATATACGTTATGCATGAAGGACATACATGTAGAGTCAACTTCGCTTATAACGACACTCGGCGGGGCATCAAAAGGTGTCTTTATTCCCGTAGCTATGCAGAAGACGTTACTTCAGTAACGTCTGGCGCTAGCCAGGGTCCACACAGCTTTAATTTGGTATTTGTGTGTTTGTTTGTGTGTTTGTGTCACGCCTGGCGCTATCCCGTATCTGTCCCGTACCGTACCGTACCGTACCATCAAACACAGCTGGCCACATACAGCTGGCCGCAATATTCAAATAGGGCTTTCAAACGCAAGATCATAACGTGAAGCAACTTGGAAGAATGGGTATGAATGCGAAGTGTACGGGGGAATGCATGTAGGGCGTTAGTGCGGGTTCGAATCCCAGGATATGCCTGAAAAAATAGGAGAATTGAAAAATTTATAACATCCTTATGCTTTTTTTGCCGTCATCAAGGCGGTAGACGGTGTCGTATTACCCTCGATCGTACCTGTCCCGTACCGTACCATCAAAGACGGCTGGCCACAATGCATATTCAAATAGGGCTTTCAAATGCAAGATCATAACGTGAAGCAACTTGGAAGAATTAGTGTGTATGCGAAGTGTATCGGGGGGTGCATGCAGGGCGCGCGATAGTGCGGGTTCGAATCCCAGGTTATGTCTAAAAAAAGGATTTTTTTTAAGAATTTATAACATCCCTATGCTTTTTTTTGTCTAGGTCATCAGGGCAAAAAAGCATAGCGTAGGGCCCTGAGCTTCCAAGCTCTCTCGTTCGCGAAGTGTCGCTATACCCGAAGTCTCATTATATTATGTATTACAGTGGGATGGGACTTTGCTCTGGGCATGGAAATTCTGTCGTTATTTGCGAATTGTCGTTATATCCGCAGTCGTTATTAGCGAAGTTGACTGTATGCTGTAAATCGGTAACCAACGATTTGCTTCTGGATGGCGCGGGATCTGGATAAAAGAGGAACGGATAAGCGAGGTCTGACTGTATACACATAAAATGGGCATCATGCATTTCAAATGGGTAAATGATTTTTTGCGCACGCGCAAAAATATGTTAACACAGAAGGCGCATGCTCTGTTCCCAACAAACTCTCACACGCTCATTGTTCTCCGAAGTCCACTGTTCCTGACTTCAGTTCTTGCTTTGTCCGCATTGGCAGTGGATTTCTTTCTCACGGCTCACTCAGCCTCTCAATACGGCTCACTCAGCCTCCGCAGCCGGGCCCTGCCCGGCTGCCTCCATACGGCTCACTCAGCCTCCGCAGCAGGGCCCTGCCCAGCTGCCATACACACACATTCACACAGCTCTAAGCTGTCACTCACTCGGAGCCTGGCAAAGCAATTGACAAACCCTCCTATTCCCCAAACTGGTTGCTCGTTGTGTGAGTGTGGCATGCAGATGCTTGTGTTAACCATAGATTTCAAATTGACACCATTCATTTCAAACGGGATTCGTACATTTCAAATGGCCACCATACATTTCAAATGGGCATCATGCATTTCAAATAGACACCATGGGTTCAAATGGGCATCACACTTTTCAAATGGGCTCCATACAATTCAAATCAGCTCCACACCTTTCAAATGGGCACCATACATTTCTCATGGGTTCACTACATTTCAAATGGGCTCCATACATTACAAATGGCACCATACATTTCAAAATGGCACCACACATTTCAAATATATATACATTTCAAATGAGCACCATGCATTCAAATGGGCACCATATTTCTCAAAATCGGCTCCATACATTTCAAATTGGCACTATACTAGGGGTTCCAGGATCTGGCCGACTGGGTTCGAGGACTTTCTCCACGCGCTACACACAAAAGTTTGGTCGCGCGATGACGGCTCATTCTAGGCCAGTGCGCTGGGATATCGTAAGTTCTTGAGGATTTTTGAAGTCACCAGTGGCTTCCTGAGGTTTTCAGCTGTCCAATGTGGGGTTTTTGATCGCCGTGCGGCGAAATTAGGCCATTGCGATCAGTCAAAGAAGAAATTGAAGGCGATTTTCAAGTCTAAAATGGCATCTTAGGGGATTCTTAAACCGATTTTCAGCTTCAGCACCCAAAAACCTTTCGGAATAACCCATGCCGGTGTTTTTCTCAAGCAAGGTAGAGCAGCGCAACAAAATTTGAGTGCGCCGAGTAGGACTAAAAGCACCTCCGACATGGCGATTTTTCAAGTGCGAGGAAGAAGAGTAGATCTACACTAGAAACTAGGTGTTACCCCCAGCGCAGTCAGCTGATCGCGAGTATCAAGCAGCACGAAGACCAGGATTGCGCTGTGCCTAGTGAGCACGACGTAGTACACGATTCTGTCCTATCTCCTGTTTGCGAGGAACAAGGAGAACAGCCGGCGGCTTGGATTTACGACTCGTGCGCTGGCGGAGAACAGTGAGCTGCCGTCATTACCGATCGAACTGGTTGGTGTTGGAGCTGATGCAGTATCTCTCACCATGATCAGCCTGATCCCAGCTCCCATCGACAGCGTCTTCTGGATTTGGTTCGCAACTTGCAAGCTCTGCAGAGGACGGCATCGACAACATCAACATTGGCGTGTTTGTGACTTGCCGTCCTTGTCGGCAATGGCCAAAGCCGTGCTGGTGACTTGACGTCCTTGTCGGCCAAAACCGTGTGAAGAAGAGGGGTAGGTTCGCCGAATCGAAGCGTGCATATGTAATCCGCTCAAGGCAAGGATAAGAGGCCGGCTGTAAACTGTGACAAAATTTCATCTGATTCGTGTGAAAATGTATGTAGCTAGGTGGTGGCTGTGCAGTAGTTTGACCATGTTTTGAGCCGATTTCCCATTTGATCGCCAGAGAAAAATACACCCATTTCGCTGTAGAAAAATTGCTATAACTTTCAAATGCCTGGACCGATTTTGATAAAATTGGTACCATAGGATTTCTCATTTCCTCGGTGACATTGTCCAAGAACAAGCTAGCTTGAATTATGAATTTGAAATTTCGACTGGAATCCCTAACTATACATTTCAAATAGACACCATGAAATCAAATGGGCACCATACTTTTCAAATGTGCTCCATACATTTCAAATGAGTGCCATATATTTCTGATGAGCACCATACAATTCAAGTGGGCACCACACATTTCAAATGGGCTCTATGCATTTCAATTGGGCACCATGCATTCAAATGGGCACCATATTTTTCAAATTGGTTCCATACATTTCAAAGGGGCTCCATACATTTCAAATGGGCACCATACTTTTCAAATGTGCTCCATGTATTTCAGATTGGCTTCATACATTTCAAATGTG